CATTCTGATGGCCATAGTGCCCTTTTTGTTAGGGCTTATAAATCCCCTCCTGTTTCAGTGACAAGAAGTTGGGGTTATTACATCTTGATAACCAAAACAGCCCACCCACACCCAGGAAAGGGGACAAAGTTCTAGCTTCTTTAACCAGACAAACTCCTAGAAGGTCTTTCATGTCCTTCAGCTTTAGCCCCTGGTGGGTTTACAAATCTAAAGGAATGCTCGGAAGTTGAATTGTTCAGAACTCCAATTATTTTTCATGCTGAACTCTTTACAGCCACAGAATCAACTGCAAATTGTCCTCTCACGATTCTTGGAAGGCACCAAGATCACAGCACAGACCTTCTGAGCTAGGGTGGTTCTGTGGCCAGGTCCTTCCACTGGAACCCAAGAAGTGCAGGGCCTTGGCTGTGGAATAGATTGCAGATGTCCCGGCTTTCAGGATGGCTCGACCATGAGGCATAGCCCCCCATGTCTCTACCAATACTAAAACCTTGGGTTCCCTCCCCAACACACCTTTCCTTTCTTTCCTGGTTGTAAGCCTGTCTTAGTTATCAAGTATTGCCATAACAGAAATACCCCAAATGGGTGGCTTTAATGAACAGAAATTCGTTTTCTCACAGCTTAGGAGACCAGAAGTCCAAATTCAGGGCGCCAGCTCTAGGAGAAGGCTCTCTTTCTCCATTGTCTCTGGGGGAAGGTCCTTGTCTCTTTTCAGCCTCTGTTTCTTTGTTCCTTAGAGAGCTTATCTGTCGTGGCATCCATTTTCCCTCATCTCTGCTTGTCTGCTTGCTTGCTCAATATGCTCTTTTATATCTCAAAAGTGATAGATTTAAGCCACACCCTACACTAATACTGCCACATTAGCAGAACAAAGAAACCCCATGTCCAAATGAGATTATAACCACAGGTACAGGGGTTAGGATTTACAACACATGTTTTGGGGGGACACAATTCAATCCATAACAAAGCCCTTAGATCCCTGGCGGCCTGTTGGATGTGGAGAAATCTTCCTCCCCACTGTGTAGGACTTCACGGCGGGTAACTGTGTTGCGTGCAGCCTCCTGTGTGGTCCTCAGTCCATCCAGTTCACCATCTGTTACACACACATATACATATCTTGACCCCTCTGCTTCACAAAGCTCTGGAGAGCCCTTGATGAGCCCCACAGCCCTCCTGCCTGTATCCTGGGTGTTCCTTCACCTCCCTCAACAAGGGCTCCTTGTTATTCAGGGCCTTGCAGGCCGAGAAATCAACAAGGCTGTACGAGGCCTCTTGTTCTGGCTGCAGAGGAAGAGGCCTGAACTCCTGGGATCCAGCCCACCCATCAGAGATCTTCCAGACCCCTGGCCAGCCCCAGGCCCTCAGACAACCAAAGGTAACCTGGGACGTTAAGGGTGGTGTTGAAACAAAAGCAGATGACTCTGCCTGGCAAGGGCCTCTTGGCCACAACTCCTGGTAGGGTCTGAGTAGGAAGAGGAAGCAGTGGGCAGAGGGGTTGGAGGAGGATTAAAGGAAGCTCAGATGGTTAAGCACAGGGGAAAGCAATCTGGAGACTGTGGGAGAAGATTCCCCTTCAGAACATAACTCACACCAACCTCACCCCCATTCCTGCCTGTGCCACACTGCCAAAGCTAGACTAAACTGGTCTCGCCTAGCCTCTCTCTGTACCCAACAGACTAAGCCAGTTCCTCTGTGCCCAGAATGTCTGGCCAGCCCTCTCCAGACTCACTCCCAAGTCCTGTGGATTCTTGCAATGCAGTTACCCTTCCTGGAGCTCACTGCCCATCTTGTAACTTTCACATCCTGCCCAAGAGAGACGAACAAGGTGAAGTATGAAAGTTACTATCTCCCAGACTTAGCCCCCTAACCCTGGTCCCCTCTCACCACCACCAAGAACACTTGGTTGTGAAGCGTTCCCCAGAGGCTCTTCTTCCAGACACTGCCGCTAAACTAACATGGAAAACCCCACCTGGCAATCCCGGCTTTTACTGCCATAAAGAGTGTACAAGCCAACAGTAATAACTTTTGTCTACTTAGGAAAATCACTCCTGTAATCCCTTATGAGCACCTCTTTGTGGGATGTTTGTACTCTGCAGCCTTTCTGACATCATGAATGTGAAGTCCTCATAAAAGCCAACCATAGCAAGTCTGCTTTTTCTCTCAGCAAGAGGAGGCATCTCATGGCAAGGGCAAAGTGCATCTTGGTGGCCCATCTTATCAATGCCAGGCTCATTCCGGCTCACCGGCAGCAACCTTGGAGGCTCTCATTCCTTCCACAGGATCTGGCTCCATTTCTGACTCTAACCAGATATACAAGGGGCCAGGTTGATTCAGGGAGAGATCCTGCTCCCTGGCCTTGGCCTCCTAAATGGCAAATTGAGGGTGTTGTCTGGTGGTCTTTAGGTCCCATTCCACCCCTGTTGTGCATGCTGAGGGTCCAATGTGCAGACCTATATGTAGAGCAGAAGAGCCACAGCTTCTGCCCCTCTAGAAACAGGTGTTCCAGGAGGCCTGGTCCCCATGTCTAGACCCTGTGGGCTCCATCCTCTTTTCTTGGCACTTTAATGCAAGGGTGCTTGGAGTAAAGAGGTGACATGAAGTGACAAATATCTCAAATCTGTGTGGTGGGCACACAAGTAGTTTTTTCCTCTCTCTCCATATATATGTGTTTGATGAATGAAAACAAATAATTCATACCTGTTGGAGGTGGGCAAAATATCTGGAGATGCACTCACAAAGTAGACTTGATGTGTCCACAACTCAAAATGTCCTCCGATAAGCTTAAGAAGTCCAAGATAGCCTGGTGCTTGGAGCATCACAGAGGCCATTGAAGGGGCCCCAAGGTTGGCAAGGTTTACAGTGAGCTCAAATAAAAACCTGTGTGCATGGCCTGGGTGGGTTTCTGGGACCTCCTGCCCCTGGACTGGAGCCTGGAGAAGGGGCCCAGGTGGTACTGGGATGAGTGGCTTTCAGCACATTACTTTAGGACCATGAGGTTTGGAGTGAAGGGAGCAGCAGTGGTGGGGAAGGTGGGTCAGAGCCTGCCATATGGGGAGGCAGCCTCCTGAAGGCCCCATCCAGTGTTTACCAGGTGCCTCCAGGTGGCCACTGGAAGCTGCTGGGATAAGGTGCAGCAGCCCCTGGGGCCTGTAGCAGGAGCTAGTAGGGCCTCTGAATAAGAGCTTGGGCTTGTCCTGAGACTTCAGGAGCCACACTTGGCCCACTCAAAAGCCAGCCACCATCATCCTGGTTCCTTTTCCAATGCACACAGGCAAGACAACACCAGCACTCAGGGACACTTCCTCCAATCCAGCAGTCCTCCCTCACATTCATCCTCTTATAGCTTGGCTTCCACAGTCCATCATGTCAGGAACACTCTTGCCCCTTTGTCTGTTATTCAAGCCCCGGATGAGTCCTTGCTCCATCTTCTTCACTTTTCCTTGAAGGCTGCTGGGGCAAATCACTTAGTAGGAAAGAGGATTCTACTGAAATAATGGTCATCAACCCTCAGTTCTAATTGGAAATTCTACCACATTTCTCCTAGAACTCACCTTTCTGCTTTCAGACCTTTTCCACTCTCCTCAAACCCGTCCCCAAGCTCCCCTTACTCTTTGCTCAGTCTGAGGTAAACTCCAAGCATTACAGATCTCTCTCCAGCCTTTTCAGAACCTCACAATATGAAACAGATCACCTCTGTTGTATATTTAGCCTCTTTCTCTCAGCCAGATCCTCCTTTCTGACATTGAAACATGTTTAAGTCTCTTCCATGTCAAAAAATCAACCATCAAAAAAGCCTTCCCTCAGTCTACACTCACCTTCAGTTACTGCCTGAAGCTTCAGTTGCCACGGAAGCTCCAGTAACTCATGTATCTACATCTCCAGCAAGACTTCTCTAAGCTCCAGAACCACACTCCCTACTTGATGCTTCCTCCTTGATGCCATATTCACAATGGAACTCATGGCCTTCTTCCTACCCTTCACCCAGCCAAGTGTGGTCCTCTTCAGGGGCTACCCACCACTGTGTTACCACCACAATGGCTCATCCCAGAGATCCAGGAGAGAATCAGGAAAACTCCCTCCTCTTCCTGCCCCTCCATATCCATTTCATCACCCACTTGCATCAACTTTTTTCCAAAATCTTCCTGAAATCTGACCAGTTTTCTCCATCCTCATTGCCACTGTAGTCTGTCGGTGGCTTTCAAACTGATGTTCACACACCCAATAGTGTGAGAAGGCAATCCATTGGGGCACAGGAAGAAAATATCATTATATATACAATATCATCAAATATTAGTATATATACAGGTTTGTATAGATATTGATACATACTGTATTTCTCTTTTGTGTCTGTTTCATAATGTAAGTAGTATATTAGTGTTGTGCATGCATATAACTTAGAAATAAAACCTAGTTGGTAATCACTCAAACATTTTTTTCTGACAGATGTTCATGATCAAAAAAATTCGAGATCCTGGGCTAAATCTGGATCACCATTTGCTTTGCCTGAACTATGGCAGTAGCCTCCCAAATGATCTCTACAACCACTCTTCTCCCCTCCCCAGTCCTTCTCCATGCTGCACCCTTTAAACCCGCCAGGGTGGTCAAGTCACTCCTTGCTTAAGACGCTTTAGTTTCCCAACTTCTTACCACTCCAGTTTCTTGAACACAAAGCCGTAGAAGACACCTGCTGTTTCTTCTATTGGAATATCCTTTTAGGAGCTCAACTCCTGCTCATTTCCTAGGAGAAGAATTCCCTGATTGCTCTCCTCTACTAGGTCAGGGGACTCTCTCTCTCCCTCTTCCACTTTCTCTTCCTACCGCTCGTCCCCACTGGCACTACTATATTATCACACGGATTTGTGACTTAATTTTATTGGGTCTCCACCACTCAAGAATAAATCCATGTGAGTGTAAAGGCATTATCTAGTTTGGAAAATGCCTGTCAGAGCCTGGCACCTAGTAAGCGCTCAATAATTCAGTAATTAATTTCAATAATAAAGCCATGAGAATGCAGTAGACCCCTACTGCCCGGAGGCGAAGCCGTCGTGGGGGACAAGGGTGGCTCTGCGGGCTCCAGCTGCCTGCCCTCAACCTCTGCCCTGGCCGCCCCACGTGGAGGCTCCTCCGTCCCTGGGGAAGAAAGCTCAGGGCCGCTCCCGACCCGGCTCGCCCGAAGGGAGGAGGTGCTCTGAGCCACCCGATGCGCGGACGCCCGGGCGTCTGCCTAGGGCAGGGGCGGGGCCGGTCCGTAGACGTCACTTCCGGTGTACACAGCAGGTCGCGGCGGTGCGCTGGGGGCCGGGGTGCGTCGCAGGTGAGGAGCGGGCGCTAGCAGGCTAAGGCGGGCGCAGGCGGAGGGGCGTGGGCGGTGGGCCGTGGGCTGCAGCCTGGGCTGGCGGCGGGATGAGCCTATGGGGGCGCCGCTCCACTCGGGGCCGCAGGGCGCTGGGCCGTGGGCTCCCGCCCCTCGCCCGCCCGCTGTGGAGGACGCCGGGCTCTGAGGGCGCTGGCCGGGCGGACGGAAGCCCGGAGGGGCCTCCTGACGTGTGTCCAGGACGAGGGGCGCGGCGGGGACCCCGCGGAATGCAGGACGGGCGGGGAGGACCCGCATCCGTCAGCCCGGGGTTCGAGGGGCCGCTTCCTCGGGCCGTCACGGCCAGGCCCGGAGGTCGGGCTGGAGCCGGGACCCGCTCCCGGAAGCCGGCGGCGCGGTCCGCCGAGGGACGGCGGCTTGTGGGCGGCGAGAGGCCGGGGTCCGCCGGGTCTGGCGGGGGACGCGGCCCTCACGCCGCCCCGCGGCTGCCCGGCCGGCTGTGCGCACCTTCGTCGCCTGGCCGCCAAGGAACACGATTTTCCGGCTCTGTTGAGTCTACAGACACTGTAGGCCGGGGGAGGGTCCGCAGGGGCCCAGGGAGGACCCTGGCTGAGGATGAAGGACCCACGCCTGTGAGTCGAGCGGAAGGGTCAGGGGTGTGTCTTTTTGCGCCAAGCGGGGTAAGGAAAGAGCATGCCTGGTTGGCATGATAAGAATTCTGTTTATACTGCTTACAGAATTGGCCAGATAAAAACTTAGCTTTGTGGGGGACCCCAATTCGAAAATACCTTTATCCCCTCATCTCCCATTATAAAAGTAATTCATTCTTCTTGTAAAACACTCAAGATAACACAAAAAGTGTAAGGGAGGAAATGAGAATTCGCCCGCCTGCCGACCAGTCAGAGACAACCGCTGCTAACATTTTGGTGATATCAATAAGTAGCGATAGCTATTGTTACTTTTATTGACTTCATAGTATACCATCGTATGTCATAATTTAACCAAGCCCTATTGATGAACATTTAGGTTGTTTCCAATTCATCACAGCTACCAAAAGGATTTTTCTGATTTTTGTCTTAGGATAAATTTACAAATGGGGTCAAAGGTAACATATTCTAAATAGTGTTTTTCCTTAGTTGACATATTTGGAAAATTCTTCTCCATCCCAGTGTTCTATTAAAAAAAAAAATCCATCCATGTTTTCTTCTCATTATGTCATGGTTTGATTTTTTTACTTTTAGCTGTTTAATTCACTTAAAATTTATTGTTGGTTTGAGGTGTGAAATATCTGCCAGGTGCCTAGTCAGGTTTTATTGAAGAAACTGTGTTGTTGTTGGGTGCCGTTTAGTTGATTCTGACTCATAGCGACCCCATGTGACAAAGTAGAACTGCCACATAGGGTTTTCTTGGCTGTAATCTTTACAGAAGCAAATTGCCAGGTCTTTTCTCCTGCAGAGCACCTGAGTGGGTTCAAATACCAACTTTTTGGTAAGCAGCCTAGCGCTTATCTGTTGTGCTATCGGGGCTCCTGAAGAAACTATGTTGTTGTTAGGTAGAGTCGGTTCCCACTTATAGGGACCCTGTGTACAACAGAACGAAGCACTGGCCCATCCGGCGCTGTCCTCACAATCGTTGCTGCTGTGCTTGAGCCCATTGTTGTAGCCACTGTGTCAGTCCGTCTCCTTGAGGGTCTTCCTAACTTTCGTTGACCTGTAACTCTACTATAACAGTAGTTACATAAAAGAAACTGTAACTGCCCTTTAATTGTATTTTAGACCTAAAGTTCTAAGTGTATGTTTCTAAGGTGATACTTAAAATTTTGATATTTGGATTTTATGTATGCTGAGATATTTACTAATTCCATTCACAATATCGTTTTTTTATGGTTTTCCTTTACAAATCCATGGAATATTTTATGTTTTTGTTTTTTATCTTCTAAAGCAAAAAGTTTAGACAGTTTATTACTGTTTAATTTGTTTTCTTGGTGACAAGGTAGATGCCATATGAAGAGTTCATGTTTGTTGTGGCAACTTTTCAGTCTGGCATTTGAGATTCTAATCGTCCTCTATTTTTGCACATGAATAGGTAGGTTAGCATTGGATACCAAGATAGAAAAGTTCTCAGATTCCCTTGGCAAGCCTAGATTTTTCAATCTAAAATTATCTCTGGATTTTTGGAAGACAGCATATTTTAGACATTCTTTAAAAAAAAACAAACAATTTGCACATGATTCTGCTGAAAATTTTACTAAATATTTATTCTTTTGAAAACCTGAGGCCTAATACACCAGGCACTTTATGTCAAGGAGGTCTTCCAAATCTGTAGGAAAATAATGGTATCTGAGAGTTATCAGGCTGGTGCATCACATGGATTGCGTGTCCACTCTCTCCTTTTCCCTCCTGTGACTTTGTTCTTAGTTGAAAATGATGACCTTTCTAGGTGGAGAAAGAATGTTGGTTTGAATAAGGAATTGATTTATCTTGGAGTTAGAGAAAAAGCTGGATGCCATTTTCTCTTAATATAAGATCACAGAGAGCCTGATTTTCCCTCATCCAGTCTAAAAGCTGAACATGTCAGGGACTGTGCTTCAGATGTCTCTGTCTTTACCAAAATTGTCCTCTTGAGTGTCCCCTAATTGGGAGATGTAGTGGCCAGTGCTTACCCATTTCCCTTGGCCTTTGCCATAAATATTTGACATGGTGAGCCACTCTTTTTTGCTGTTGTGAATCTCTTATTGGTTGGAAATCTTGACTTGGAGTTGTGGTCATTTACCGTAATTTTCACAAATAACGCGCCCACGTAAATAAGGCACCCACACATATAACATGCACAGAGCACCTAGGAAAACTGCACGAAGGGGTTGCGCGGTTGGCAAAAAACGTATACCTAACTCACGTGTTGTTTGCATAAAAATTTGGTACTTTGTGACTGGCTTCTCTTGCCACATCTGCCTGGGGACATTATCTAAGACCTTCCTTTCCTTTCCTCTCCCCAATACACACTCCTTCCCACTCTTCCAGTAATGTCACTTCTAGATAGAGAACTACCTTACCTCATTCCCCTCCTCATACCCCTCCAGCCTCCCTTCCCCCCATTTAGTGCCCCCAGCTCAGGCTTTTCTGCAAGTGACTGCTATATCTCCCTCCAGCTGACCTCTGGACATGTTCCTGTGGCTGTATTCTCTCCAGTTGATGGAGCACTTCCTCCCTTCCCAAGGTGGCCTGTCCTTCATGACTCTATGGTTCTTACCCAAACCAAAACCCATTGCTGTCGAGTTGAATTCCAACTCATAGTGACCCTATAAGACAGAATAGAACAGCCCCATAGGGTTTCCAAAGATGTAAATCTTTTGGGAAGCAGACTGCTGCATCTTTCTCCTGTGCAGCTGCTGGTGGGTTCAAACCATCAATCTTTTGATTAGCAACCGAATGCTTAACCACTGCTTCACCAGGGCTCCTTGTTCTTACCAGCTGACATATCACATCTCATCTTCTTTCTTGATGTGAGTTGTATTTATCCTTTGCCTTCTATCCCTACACTTTGATTTAGACTTCCTACCTTGTGCCTTGGTTATAAGGAACTTCAGACATAACCTGGACCTGCTTTAGATAAGAAAAATGAGACCTAGTGAATTTATTCATGAATTTAGTTAATGCTATGGTAGGGGCCAGTTACTGGACTTGGGGTACAGAGCTGAAAGGCACAGCTGATGGAGGAGACGGCCAAATAAGCAATTGCCATAAAGTATCTTGAAGTGCTTAGAAGGGAGAGACACCAAGTAAGCTCCATTAGGTTTCAGAGATCTTGCCTGTTTTGTTCATCCAGGACCTAGAACAAGTGTTCTAGGAACCATTAAGTATTTGTTGAATGAATGAATGAATGAATGATCGTTGGAGAATGGAATCAATAAATGTTACACAAATCAACTATCTATAGAAAAGATACGAGCCAAGAGGCATTCTGTAAATGTAGTTTGAAGAATTTCAGGGAAAACTTTAAATTCAACCAAACTGACCCAGCCATAACCCCAGGAAGGCATGATTGGAATGTGTTTGTAGCCAGACAGCTTAAACTTAATTTTATATCCGCAGAAGAGAGATTGTGTTTTTAGAAGGAGAGTGTTGGGATGGTATGGGGTAGGGAGTGGGGATCCAAGAGAGGAATCGGTGTTATATGGTGTGTCTGTATTACTCTCTGGGGACTCTGACCTGAGGAGCTGTGTGGAGTCCTCTGCTGGGCTGCACTACCAGACAGATAGGTGTGTCCCTGTTGATACCTCTAGCCCTGAGGGTCTTTCCCTTGCTTTGCTTCTGTGCCCCTAATACCTTCTGATGGAACATGGCTTCACATGAAGATTTCTTGCCAAGGAGAGAATATGAGTGGTTGAGAGCTCTGTATCTAGACTGCCTGGGTCAGATCCTGGTTTGGGATGCTGGCTCAATCTGTTTTCCCATCTGTAGAATGGGAATAATGGAAGCAGCTTCCTCCTGGTATTGTTGTGAGGGCTTGTAGCACACTGCCTGACACTTGGTGTGGTGCAGTGAATTACTTAATATGGCCCTTCCAGCCATAGTGTTTGTAACTCCCACCAAATGATTGAGTGGGACTATGCAACCACCAAATGATTGAGTGGGACTATGCAAGTAAGGTGCTTCTGGCCCTCCAAGGGAATTGGACAGCTTGCTAATAATACAAATAAGGTACGTGGCACCCTGTTGAGGTGGGACCATGCAAATTAGGTATATGGAACCCTAATGAGGGGATTGGTCAGTTTTGCCATCCCTCTAGGCTTAAAATAAGCCATTCTAGGGACAGAAAGTGGGGACCTCCTACCACCAAGAAAGAAGAGTTGGGAGTGGAGTACATCCTTTGGACTCAGGCTCCCTATGCTGAGAACCTCCTAGACAGAGCTGTAACACCAGAGACAGTGAGAGCAGGCGAGAAGCAGCAGCAGACAAATGGCAGCAGCAGAGGCAGCAGAACCAGGAGACCAGCCGGAGATGGTGCGGTGGGCTTCCTGGCCCAT